AAAAAAAAAAAATCACAGGCAGAGCTATGAGGAGTCCTGGATCACAGCAGGACTGTGTGTAACTGAACAAAATCAAGGCACTTCACACACTCCCCTCTTCTTTCACCAAAGTTCTCCCCTCCCTCCAAATTTCAGGTGATTAAAACCCACATTTTTTCGAACAGTTCATTTCTGAACATTAGTCTGTAGCTACAAAAACATGTTTTAAATGAGAAGAATATTTGCATTCATTTCAGCTCACCACTCCTAAACCCCATGACACGTTTACCCTTCATGGAGTCACTTTTACTCAAAACAGTTCCTCTGACCTTCTGTATTTTTAGTTTTTATGGATTGCTGCAGTCTCACTATTGAATTGGGCACTCAGAGGAACCACTACATAGTTTTGTCCACACATTCTAAGAGACAACATGGCCCTGCTCCAGTCTGGTTTACCACACTCATAAAAAAAAAGATCTCAGCTTGTTTTCCAAGACAGCAAAAAATGACTTCACTCACTCCTTCCTGAACCTAAAAAATAATCCCCAAGCTTTGATTTGCAGAAAACACAGAACTGAGACACCAAAGAGGCACATGGTGTAACTGACTAGACTGACTTTATATTTTTAAATCAGCATATTCTACATTTGCCAGCTATTAGAGGAAAAGCTTCAGCCTCCTCTCAGCATTACTCAGGATTATAAAATTATTCCAAACATGCAGAGGATGTGTGTGTTAAAACTATCAACTCATATTGAAGATGTGTGTGAAAAACAGGGCTGGATGCAGCAGAAAGGCTTTTTATATAAAGATTGTGTCTTCAGAATTGCACACTTGTCTCCTTTCTGACAAAGCATGATGACAAAGTACAAGAAGATTTGAGGTCTGCTGGTGCTGTACAACAAAACTCATTTTTCAAAGGGAAGCCACAGATGGCAAAAAAATAAACACCTCTGGTATGGAAACATGGTATTCAGCAAGTCTGGAAATTGGCTGAACACCTCTGAGGGTTTTTTTTTGCCAGGCCTGGCTAGTGACACTGCAGTTCAGAGTGCACAGCACACATGACTGTTCCAGAGGAACAGCCTGAAGTCCCCTGGGTGACACCACTCACCATACAGGCTGTGCTCCAGATGTCAGCAGGGGTGTTGTACCCTGAGCCTATCAACACCTCCAGGGATCGGTACTGCCTGGTCTGGATGTCTTCAGTGAAGTGCTTGTGCTAAACAGAAGGAATGTTTTACTAAACAGTTAAGAGGAGACTGCATTAAAAGAGGAGAATCAACAACCTGAAAGGTCAGAGCAGATCAAAGCTCATTCCCTTTACATTTAATTGGAATTTTACATCCTTATTAAATAGTTCCTTAAATTCCTACAATAATTGTTTATTAAATTCCTACAAGTATTGTTTAAATGCTCTACATGAGACACTCCTCAAGTCCAGCAATTTAGGGGAAATCAACCCACAAATATAGAATAAGGAAAGACTGTTTCTGAAGCTGCACCCTCTCCTACCCCTTCATGACAGGCCAAGGATTCAGCCACCTTGAACCAGATAAACACCAAAGGAAGAGGTGGCCCTGCAGCCTGATGTGCAGTTCTGAGTTTGTAACTCTCTCCTGTAAGAGTATGAAGACATCTGAAGTATTTTGCCTTCTCAGAAGCCAAGTAAAATAGATCTTTCTTCTATTTGAAATGTCAAAAGCAGCACAGTGCAACCATCAAAGAATAAAACAATTTATGAGTCTCTTTCATCTGCTCATGAATCTGCCGAAACGGTTTGACAAGCCAAGAAACCACAGAACCAGCACATCAGAGCAGTTCTTTGCAACTCGTTCTCCAGGAGAGCTGCAGACTCCTTCAGAAGTTGCACATATGCAGATTCCTACACATTCTATGTGACACTGTTCACAGCAACCTCATGACTACAGAGGCAGCCAGAACAGGCTGAGATCCTACCTTAGGAGACCATTTCTTTGTGTCCCTGCTCCTCCCTCCCTTTTTCCTGAACATTTTCAAGCTGTCCCCACACAAGCAGGTTTAAGGCAGAATCTATTTGACAGCTTCTTTTCTATCTTGGCATTCTGTGAATGAACTAACAGGTTGAAATGTGTGTCCATGTGAAAAGAGGGTGAACTTACCACCCAGCAGGCATTCCCTAGGTCAGCAATCTTCACTTTGAGCTTATCTGCATTCTTGGGCTCAAGAGGATTAAGAAGGAAATTCCCAGCAGCTGATTTTCCTAGAGGCAACACATAAAACAGATGATCAAAGCTACATGGATGGACAGTGTCACCATTTGCCATCCAAATCCTCCAGCCCTCTCCCTCCCCAGGAAGGGTTTTGTTTATGGATCAGAGCTGTTCAAATCAACATCAGTGAACACCAGAACTACCACCATGAGGATGCAAGCAGAAGGACAAGCAAGTATATGCAAGTACATGTCTATATCTAGACAGGCTTTTTAAATAAGGGCACTGTCAGAAACAAAACAAGCCTCTCAACCCTTAAATCTTCCTAAATCTTTGAAGGACAGTCCACATACTAGAGCATCTTTTTGACATACCCATCACTCCCTTCTGCAACACAGACAAGGACTGAAATATATACTGGGACAAACTCCACTGACACAGGAGAGAGCAAAAACATGAAGTCACTAAATTACATCCAGCTGGAGCTCTAAAGCCATTTGGGAGAGAGCTGAGAGAAGCCAGTTACACCCAGTAGTCTAGCAGGGTTATCCAACTCAATGCAATTCAAGTTTCACAATCTTGAAATTTCACTTGTTACTTTTCAGCCACACAAATGCCAAGAAAATGCTGCAGATTTTTTTTAAAATTAAATACAAATGTTCATTTCTCTCTCCTTCTCCAGAAGATATCCTGACCTTGACTCCAAGATGCAAAAAAGGACAGTTTTATCAGTGTATTCAAGTTTTAAAAATACACACACCTGGCATGTGTTTAAACTCCTGCATGCTATTGGGTGTCTAATGTTCTCCTAAACCCACAGGGCTTATTTTCAACCCCCTAAAACAAATCCTATTTAAACAAAAACATTAAAGACTGGGTTTTTTTTTCCTATGCTGTATAAGCTTTGTTTCCAGTTCTGGGAAAACATTTATCTCAAGTAACTGAGAGCAGTTATCTGTGCTGCAACTGTAAGAACAAAGCTATCAGAACATCCTGAGCAGTTCTCATCCCATCATGTAACAGTCAGGGACAATTTGTAGACTTACATTTCTAACTAGAAATGAAAACCACAGAAGGAACACCTGGTAGGAAGGAGGAAATATTCCTATACTGAAAAACAGATGTAAGAGTACTTTTCAAAGGCAGGAATACTTATGCATTAAATAATCAAAACTAAGGTGCAGCTACAACTGGAAGCTACAAACAGCAAATGTCTCTGAGTGGGATGGTCAGGTTGATTGCTCCTGGGAGGAAAAGGCTCAAACAGGTGGTGCTAATCATTTCAGCCTACAAAACTGAAGTTTCTATTAATTCTCTCAAGCTCCCTCAGAACAAGGAGAAAGGAAGCCTTTCTCACAGGGTTCACAGCATCACAGAACTGTCACAGCTGGAGAAGACCTCTAAGATCACCCTGTCCAACTGTCAACCCTCACCACACCGCGACCCCTCAAAAGAAACAAGCCCACTAGAGCATGTCCTGAAGGGTCTCATCTACAAAGTTTGTAAATCCCTCTGGGGATGTTGACTCCACCACCTCCCTGGGCAGCCTGGGCCAGGGCCTCACTACTCTTGCAGCAAAGAAATTCTTCCTCATCTCTAATCTAAACCTCCCCTGGTGCAACTTCTGGCCACTTCCCCTGGTCTTATCGTTATGTACTCCAGAGGCCACCACCCACCTCCCTACAACTTCCTTTCAGGGAGTTGAAGAGCACAAGAAGATCTCCCCTCAGCCTCCTCTCCTCCAAACTAAACAGTTCCCAGTTCCCTCAGCCTTTCCTCACAGGACTTGTCCTCCAGCCCCTTGGTTGTTGCCCTCCTCTGATCTTGCTCAAGCAACTTAATGTCTTTCTTGAAGTGAGGGGCCCTCAACCACAAGGTTCCTCTTGTACCTTTGTTGTCTGACGGGCTATTATTCTCATTCTCATCCTCTGAAGGTGTATCTGTCCGGATGCTTTCCTGCAAATGGTTGATCCCCTGCTCATTGAATGGCTGCTCCTCGTTGGACACGGGCTGACACACCATGGAATCTTCTGAAACTAAGGGCACGAACGAGTCCGACATGGCTTCCTGAGGCCCGTTCTCCGAGTCGCCGTTGCTGTAACTACAGCCATGGAAGTTCTCCTTCGTCTGCGTGTGAGGGTGATGGCCACAGTCATTGGCATTGTGAAGATCATCCTCAAGTCTCACAGACCCTTGGTTGCTGGAGTCTGGGAAGTCCGTCATTTGTATCACCCCATTGTGATTTATTTCCGTGACGCATTTTTCCGCGCTGCTCTCCATCAGGATGGGTTGCTCTGCGACAACGGCTTCAGCTGGAGGAAGGAGAAAACAGCACCATGTCTGAAGAAGGAAGAGCTGAAGCTCGTTCAGGAGGGAATTCTCAGGATGTAAATGAACACAATCATTCATTAATCCAGTTTGTAACTGGAAGTTTCCCAGCAATTGCCACACACAGGGGTTAGATGACAATGGCCACCTCTCCCAAAGGTCTTCACCCTACTCATGCCAGCACAAGTGAAAGGACAACGCTGAGCTACTTCAGCAAGATTTTAGGTCCATACCTGTCTTTTTCATCACACTTTCCTCTGGTGGAATAGCTTTGATGAGCATTTCCAGAGCATTCTGAGTTTCTTCCTCCTCTTCAGGCTGTGCCTGCCCAGGGCTGGCTTCCTTCTCCATCTCCTCTATCTCTTGCATCCTCTTCTCTAACAGCTCAGCCTGACGTTTCTGCTTCTTTTTCAACTTCTTTTTCTTATTCTTGGACATTTTGTCAGCCTACACAGAAGCAAGCAGAAAAACTGGACTTGGCATTTTTATACACCTGAAACATGACAAGTTTTATTTCATGTTAAAGCTGGGATGGAAATTCTGGAGACAGTTCTCCCAAATAAAAAGCAGATATGAAGGGGTTTGGAGCAGTTGTCTATGGCTCATTTCTGACCCAAGTATTCTCCAAATGAGGGATCTCAGACCCCACAGTCACCTTCACAACAAATCTTGAGACCACCAAAACTTCTACTCATTTGGTGATACATGAGCTAATTGCATCTCCCAGACAGCACTGAATCTGGTGCCTGTGACAAACAAATCACACTTTTCCTTGACAGCAGGTTGCTTTCCCTTCATGCTGACTGCATTATGAAACAATAAAACACTGTAAGCAGATGGGTATTTAGACACAAAAGCCATTACACTTACTGGTTTTGGCTGTGGTGCAGTGCTCACTGAAATGGAAAGGAAGAGGAGTAAATTAGTATGTTTACAGTCAAAACCTGCAATTGCATTCTTAAGATAATATTTTCCCTATGTGGCTTGGTAACAGCATTTTAAAGGTATCAGCAAATGTTATTTTAAAGGCTCATTTCTCTGCAAAAGTGCAGCAAGAATTAAAAAACCAAACAAACAGAAAAACATGAAATGAGTACATGCATAATTAAGATTCTGGATACCAGACTTGCCTGACTGATATCAAAAGACTCACACTTCCTGTCATGCAGCTTCATTGACTGCATGTATTATGCATCTTGCTGAAAAGAAAATGTAAACCTAAACATTAAAATACCAGTTATGGGAACTTCCCTGAGCTAAGATACACCAGGATGGGCTCAGCTCAACGTTGGTGTTGCAAGATTCTGACTGGCAGAGACCTCCAACACACACTGCAGTAGTTCTTGGAAACTACACCCTGGTACAGATTGATATTTCAAGGAGGAATTGCTCCTCAGGGAATATTTGCTCTCAGATGAAGCTGTTTCTGTTTTGATGACTTCTGCAACTGCCAACAGGTAAATAATCTTGTGGAAACCTTCATGAAGTGGATCTCCAGCATCACAAAATGAGAGGAAATCAAACTTTTGAAGAAAACATGAGAAGTTCCTGATCACATCTTCACTCCAGCACTATTCTGAGTGCACTGGTATTGACTCAGGGTGTGCTCCACGAGTCTAACTGCCCTACCACTTCATCTGTGCCAGATGAGCTGGGTGAGAAGCAGGTGTCAACTTGCATGTATCCTCCCTCCACTTCTCTTAAACAAACAATTTCCTCCTGATCACCTTTGAGTTACAACTTATGACTAACTTCAGTTTACAGTTGGCTTTCCAGAGCTTCCTTGCATTATTGTTCCACTGTACTCAACTACGAAGTTTTCCTTTGCGAGATTAGTTATGATTTAGGAGGGTGGGGGGGGAAAAAGCACCAATTTTCAGGGGAAAAAAAGCAGCACCTGCAGAGCCAGATGGTGGGGGAGCCCCAGATCTCTGCCACTCTGTTGCTTCTGCAGCCAGTCTGCGGATGTACTGGTCATTGACACACAGGAGAATGTTCTCAGGTTTAATATCTGTATGAATAATTCGACACTTGGTGTGCAAATAATCCAGACCCTGAAGAACCTGCAGGCAGGAGAAAAGGAAACCAACCTTTAGAAAAAAAAAAAAACAAAGAAGGAGCAGATTTGAGGGTGGAGTGAAAATGCAAAATTGCCTAGGTCAAGCAAGGAGCCTGAAGGACTTGTGTGTGTGAGAATGTTCCTGGTAAGAGTTCATTGGATCAGTGGATACTGCTCCATTCCACAAAATACAGATTTCCATGAAGACTTTTGCTATTAATTTAAAAGTGATAGGACAAGGGGTGATGGTTTTAAACTGAAAGAGTGGAGATCTAGGTTAGACATCAGGAAGAAAATCTTCACCATGAGGGTCTTAAGGTGCTGGAACAGGTTGCCCAGGGAAGTTGTGGATGCCCCATCCCCGGAAGTGTAGAAGGCCAGGTTGGATGAGGCTTGTGCAACCTGGACTGGTGGGAGGTGTCCCTGCTCATAGCAGGGAGATTGGATCCTGATGATCTTGAAGGTCCCTTCCAACCATCACCATTCTATGATTTTATGGTTCTTCAGCCTCATAACTTCCCTTAGAATGACAGACTTGTTTTAGTTGGAAAACACCTTCAAGATCACCAAGTCCAACTTACCAGAATTGAAAACTAACCTTAATACCCTACAATAATTCTTTCCTCCTCCCCTCCAACCTCACATGTAGAAAGATGTTGCTGCTAAGGCAACCATCCAGTAGGAAGAACAGATTCGCTCACTCTTCCCATCATTAAGCACTGTACTTCTCTGGCAGAGGTTTAACAAAAGAAACATTGAACTCACAAGGAATAGCAGGGTACAAAAAGGTTAAAAGCAAAGTCAACCTCCCACCATGGTGTGTCAGAAAATAAGCTTCTGTAGCAGGAAGTTCTTGCAGTAGAGAAAGGAAATATTAACCCAAGAATGATTTTGTTGCATGAGACACCACTGATTTTAAACTTCTGTTTCTTGGATCTGAGGAAGATCAGTGAGAGTTCTCACTGGGTGAGGGGAACAGTGCAGTGAGAACTCAAACTTACCTGTTTGATGATCTTTTTGACACAAGGAAGTGGAAGCCCTTGATAATTTGACTTGATGATCCACTTCAGGAGATGATGTCCTAGAACTTCAAACACCATACAGATATCTGGGATTCAGTCAAGGAAAAAGATGGGACACCCTGATCCAAGGAACCCTGAATTCCCAGGACTGAGGATCCAAAGAAATCCACACCAGTTGAGCGTTATGTTCAAGAAAACTTATCCTTCTGACACAGCTTAGAGAACCTGCCTTCCTTACCAGCACCATCCTATCCTACACACCAGTGTTGTTACCCAAAACCTAAACCACAAAGGGATGGTTAGGATTATGGACTCCAGGTTTGGGTGGAAGCCAATTACACAAGCGCATGGATCAGTGCTTCCTGCCACTACTGTGGCAGCTTCAAGCCAACAATGTACATTTTGGAACAGCACAGGCTCTTGCCCCAGGCAAAGCTCAATGCCAGTTCTCTCTGTACCAGCAATACCTGAAAAGATAATGAAATTTCTATTTCATAAGTCATCTTCAAAATAATTACGTTGCTTTTTCCACCCTCCCTTGCCTCTTTACCAGCAAAACAAACTTTTAACAAGTCTGGACTTCAGAAATATTTACATTATCTAGATTTTGTCTGTAAGATCTCAACAGTAGTTACTCCAGTGGCATGTTCTGTATTGTGCCCTTGCTTTAGAAGCCAAACTTCTAGGATTTCATTAGGCTGCTTTTCTTCTGCTCTGGCAGAAAGCATGCAAGTGTTTCACAGGAGAAAAAGACATACAACATCAAGTCAACATTTAGTAGGTGCCAGGTACCAGAAAAAAGTTAGTAGCCCTGTAATATATTTCCTCTAACTTCTAAAAGTGTTAAGACGTTTATAACCTACGGCTTGATTTTCCAAGCAGCCTAGTAATTCTCACCGAAATAAAATTCCAAGTACCACAAAGCAGAAACATGCACTAAAGTCCAATTTCCAAATTTTGAGGGTGCATGACTAGGACTTGCCAGAAATCACTGCCTATTAAAAGATTGTTCACAGAACTACAGAGGATTTTCAGAGCAATCCACTTGACAATGCTGATCAAGTCCAAGGTAAGATGCTTCTGTAACTAGAAAACCACTTTATTATTGTTTAGACATTAAGAAGAAATTATTTGCTGTGAGGGTGGTGAGAGCCTGGGCAGTGTTGAAGGGCAAGCTGGATGGGGATTGGAGCAACCTGGGCTGGTGGGAGGTGTCCCTGCCCATGGAGGAGGGTGGATCTAGATGATCTTTAAGGTCCCTTCCAACCCAAACCATTCTATGATTATTATCAAGTTCCACACTACATGCCTTTGTTATTTTAATTACCAATGTTAACACTTGGTACTGTTTTATTTAAATAAGGAGTTACTATCAGGCTGCTTGCAAGATTAAGGGGTTGAAAGAGATGGGCTCTCTTACGACAAAGGCACACTAAACCATCCAGTCCCACTTCTCCTGCTAAAAGAATGAGTGACTCAGCAGTGCCACCTGCATGAACCAGCAGTGCCACCTGCATGAACCAGCAGTGCCACCTGCATGAACCAGCAGTGCCACCTGCATGAACCAGCAGTGCCACCTGCATGAACCAGCAGTGCCACCTGCATGAACCAGCAGTGCCACCTGCATGAACCAGCAGTGCCACCTGCATGAACCAGCAGTGCCACCTGCATGAACCAGCAGTGCCACCTGCATGAACCAGCAGTGCCACCTGCATGAACCAGCAGTGCCACTTGCATGAACCAGCAGTGCCACCTCCACCACTTGCAGACACTATGTCAGGCTGAACAACCATTCCAGCTCCAAGCTCTGCAGGCAATTTTGAGGCAGATGTTTCTACATCTTGGTTTCCTTGGGCAGTGAGGGGGATGCCTAGGCATCTCTCACAGCTACCCAGTGAACTGCCACCACTCTGCAATCCTTTCTCTCTCTTCCACAAAAGGATACGAGAACCATTAACTCCTGAAATCTTGAAGTCATCTAATAACTGAACAACTCTCTCTTTACTTGGATCATTCGGATCGCTGTTGCGGACCTGCAGAGAAAAAGAGGATTTATTTTGTGTTCCTTGAACTAATTACCAGGCAGGAACATATTCTGAAGTCAGATCTACTGCACTACTGTTAGGTTCCTATCAGAATTCCTTGCAGATAGATGATCCAGGAATATCAAGCACGTGACTAAGGTGAACTCCCCAAAATTAATTAAAAATTGAACTCTACTCTCAGGCACTCACCGATTTTAACAACTTGATTTCATCCAGTGCTGTTTCTGTGTAGTGCTCTGCACTCTTCACCACCTTCATTGCCACAAATCTCCTCCCTCTATGAAGACACAAGTAAATTGGAGACTGTTAATGCCCATATGAAGAGCTTATTTTCCAGGATGACCCCAATTCTTCTGCACATGAGAGCTTCTTACTTCAGGCATCATAAAAAGAAAAGGTTTAAACACTCATGAAGATAAGTCTTTGGGTCTCTTTTTATAAAATATTCATGTTAGTAATTAATCATAAAATGACATAATAGGTCAGAGACTGCTGAACACAAGAGCCCTCTTTCCACATCCATGGCTTGTCCTGTTAACTCCCTCCCACACACTGGGCATGTAACATACCAACAGAAGCTTCTGTGTCAGGAGGTAAACAACTTTGATTTGTGTGTTGATCTAAAACTAAAGATGCTTTCTGAGCACGTTTGTGCAATGCTGTGCATTCCCTCCAGGAACACCAGCTGGAACAGAAGGACTTACTGGATGTCCCAAGCCAGCCACACGGTGGAGAAGTGGCCCCATCCCAGCTTCCGAATGACGTGGTATCGTCCATTGAAGAGATCTCCTATCTTCACCAGGTGATAACCACCTAAAAACAGGGGTGTATCAAGAGATCACACAAGTGCTGAAGGGCAGCTATGTGGAATGAGAAGGCATGAACTGCCAGGAAGATCCATCTCTCTTGACTGACTGGTTCACTCACAGGACACAGAATTGCCATCCATTACTCCACTAGCTCAAAGCAGCTGAAATCCCTTTTCTTCCCTCCAAGATTCCAGTTCCAACAGTGACAGCTGCACCCATCACCAGTTCACACAATGGTTTTCTTCTTCCCACTTGTTTTACAACAAGCTAAATCCCACGAATACTTGGGTAACAAGCTAAAAGTCACGTAAATGCTTTGAAGAAAAGCCTTGAAGTGTAAGAAACACTGCAATTCAAGCTCCCTATGCTATTTCTACTTAGCATCTTTTTATGCACTTAGATGGCATTTCTTACCAGCTTCTTCCCGTCTTATTCAAAATATACAATAAATAGTATTGGAGAAGTAGTCTTACAAACTGCTTGAACCTGGGGGTCCACAGTCAAGCTTCAACTAATTGTCAATTGAATCAGTAGGATCAATGTTCTGCCTTTTTTTTTTTTTAAACTACTTGCTATATTAAAAACCAGCCTGACCCTTTTGACATTCAATTACATGCTGTGGTATTTCCACTTCCTGTGTTTAGCTTCCCCTCAGAGAAACAGTGGAAGACCGTATTTACAGAGACTAAGTTGTCTGAAGAATGGATCCTAATATGATGATCTTCAAAAGCAAACAGTGAAGAAATTGAAATTGATTTGAAAGATTTGAAAGTGTCCTTTTTCTGATGACAATCAAAAAACAAATTAAATGCCCATTTGGTTTTACCAATTTTGAAAGCCCTCTGGCTTTAAACACATGCATTAGAAACAGCTCTCTAACTCCAATCTTGACTGATAACAGAGGGAACCTTGGAGAATAGTTTCTTCATTTCAGGTTAGTTTGAAAAATGTTATTATCATCCTGCTGTTCCAAATAATACTTGATGTAAGATGGAGTTTATTTTAATTCTCTACAGCAGATGGTGAATGGAGGGAATTGGATTACACTGAAAATCCTTGCACCTGCAAGATCTCACCTTTACAGTAATCATTTGGATCCTCTTGTTCATCATCATCTGATCCCAGGATTTCTTCCTCCTGCTCTGGAAGATCATTCTCTGAATGAGCAGCAGGGCCCCGGTGCTGGTTGTCGGGTCTGAAAGAGAACACACTGTATGTCTCACACATGTTACTCTCCAGCCCAGCAGCTTCCATTTCACATCAGAGATTGCTCATAATGGAGGAGATGCAACATCCAGCCTTCAGAAAAAAAATATTTCCATATTGAAATGCTTTTATTCCTAAGCTAGTGTAAGAGTAGATAGACTCACATTTTCATACACTGCTGAGAAACTTAATGCCCCAGATACACTTTTGTGGTGGAACAAATGAAAGACCAGACAAGATAGTGAGTTAAAAGCTTAGTCATCCCACCAAGATGTCAGTGCCTTTGAACATCTTTTCAGCCTTTCATTCAGTGAGGACTTTTCTAAAATTAATTTATATTTTAAGATACAAAACCTGAAGATTTAAACATTGATGAGCATTATTTTAAAAGCTAACGTTAATTCTTACACCTTTAGAAAAAAATTAGACCAGTTTTAGAACTTGTGCCCTTTGTCCCTTTCACCTTCAAGATTAAATGAACATTTAACAATCCTTCTAAGACTTTAGAATTCCCAATAATGCTCTAGATTCTCCTGTTCTAGTTTGCCATTCCACCAAAGGTCTAGTTTCTTAGTTGTCTGAACTACGGAGAGTGGGAGCACACGGAGCAGATGTTCTGTAAACCCTTCTGAGAGCTGGTGATTGCAGAGGCATTGAAATGCCAAGGCGGTATTTCTGTTTCACTCCCACATTCATAAATAAGAACTTGAACTTTGTGTGTTTCACTTTTCACCAAAGGTGCTACTCTAAGTTCTAGCTGGTGAAGATCACCTTGGCAAAGGCCACCTCAGTGCCCTGATGGATTTCAGCTTGTTTGAGTTCCCTGAACTAAACACTTGCTGTTTTCCCAGGGCCCCAACTCCTCCTTCAGGGCAGCATGCTGCTTACATCCAAGCACCTCAGGAAATTACAACCTTAAAAACAGGCAAGTTCTTTACTTTAAAAGCATGACAGGGAATGGTTAAATGTCTACAGAGTTTAACCTTCAATAACCTTTTGCAGAAAGTAAGAATTTCTGTCTATACCCCATCTGCACTGGCAAGATTTAATGGCAAACAACTGCAGGATGTTAACATTAAGCTTTCTTTTCTTAGAAGCACAAGATATTTTAAAAAGCTGGAGTTGTCCAAAGAGAGGAGAGCAACAAATTTCTTTACAGCAATGAGGTACAGGCAGGAGATAACATTCCTTCCAATGAGCTTCCCTGCCCATGTGAATTAACGGAAGTTTCTTGGATTGCAACTATTGTTCCTGGGAAGCAGCAGATGAAACTGAGGCCTCCACCACCCCATCCCAAATCCAACTCGTTTTGCTTAAAGGAGGAGCAGCTGCTGAGACACCCACTGGTTGTGCCAACACGTGTGGGATTTCAGATGCAGTTTATCTAGCTCTGAACCAAGCTGGGGTCCCCTGCATCGTATCATGGCCACACTAACCAATCTTAATCCATAGGACAAATTCTGTATTTCTGTTTTGAGTAATTGTACAGCAGAATGAATTATCAGCATTTACTTACTCCACACACACTCTGCTGAGACTTCACACATTAAATACATGACTACACATTAAAGCTACAGCCATCTTAAATACCTATGGGGTGTGAAAAGGAAGAAATCACCCTTTCAATCTGATCATGACTGAACTTGCAGCAATTTATAATTGGGAACTGAGGTTCATTAAAGCAAAGAGGAGCTACAAAGGTCACCCCGGGCACAACCAAACCATCTGCCGTTTACTTTCAGTCTGTTGTCAGAGCTAGTAAGTTCTGCTGGTTTTTTAATTCAGGAACAGATAAGCAATACAGATTAGTGATCTTAAACCATAAACCAAGGCTGCCAGACAGTCCATTCCACTGCTACCAGGCTAATGAGACATTTATTAACAACCCTGTCCCTTGATCCAGCCCCAAGATCTTCAGTATTTAGATTTCTCCCTCTCTCATGAGCTGTAGAATTACAAGTTGGGGGTAGGAAGAAAACTGGGAGGGGAAAAAGAAGTCTTGGAGGTCAAAAAGCTGCTTTAGAAACGGTGCATTCCTCTGGGGACAATTGAGCTACAAATCATAAGACTAACCCCAAATTAGAGCAGGCAGCAAAGGCAAGAAAGGGCCAGGGAGAGAATGACTCAAGGGGAGACTGGGTGCTCATACATAGCAAATCCTATAGACAGTGTATGGAGAACCAGGACACAGAATTGTGCATAGAAAAGAGAATTTAAGGCCAGCAGCCACACCCACAGTATAAATAGTGAAGAGTAATTCTCTCCAATGCTGTTTCAAGATTTCATTTTTGCAACTGTGCAAGATATAAGGGATTAGAAGAGATTCAAAAGAAAATTCATCTTAAGAACCACTGATGCAGACAGAAACATCATGCCATTCTGCAGCCCCACTGCTTCTCAATAATAGTAATTTCATGCATCAAGGAAGAAGTCACTGGAAGCACTAAAGCCCATTATCTGGAGAGCTTTTTGCACCCCTCCTAAGAAGGGGCTGACGAATCCTGCTGCTGACAACCTCGTACCTGACACACCCTGTGGTCTGCAGCTGAGTCTGTCCTGGGGAAGAACTAAAAGCACTTCACTTGGATGTTATCATCCACGATACAGATACAGAGATGTATTCATGTCACAGACATTTCTACTGTGCTATTTCCTTGACAAAATCACCTCCAAAACACATCTTATTCCTTCGCCTTCCTGCAAAAATTCATCAGATGTTATTACATCCCACCACCTTCTGCCCCCAGAGTGACCATGTCAGCTGCAAATATGGATTAAGACCGACTTAATCAGTGCAGAAAATGTACCAATACCAATGAAAAACTGCTTCACAAAACCACAATCCTCATCTGTCTGCTTTGCTCACAACCAGTACTCTAAAAGGCACAAAAGGCTGCAAAAGCAGAAGGTATTTGAAGATGAGAGCTGCTAACAATACAGCAAAATGCAGATAAAAATATATAAAAAGCCTATGAAAAATGGATCAAGTGTTCTAGGGTGCTTTTTTATGGCCACCTCTGTGCTACTTAAAAACACCTTGATCACCTTTCACTTTTGCTCTCTCAATGTGCTAATCAATCATCAGAATTAACTGGATTTACAGGGTCTCTCTACAACTACGCATCAGTATTTTACTTCAGGAGAACACTGTGAAAGAGCAATGCTAGATCTTTTACGGAATTAATGTGAATTCATACCTAGAGTCCCTCCCAAAAGTCCTAATTCTCAGGAATGCCTCAAGAACTGCAAATTCATGAGATAAAAAAGAAGGTATCCTACCTGCATGAAGCACGGCCTCCCATTGAGAAAGAAATTCCTGAAGACAGCCCAATCGTTTTGGAAAGAGCCATTAAAAATGAGAAGCCAGAGTGCTGAGGAGGCAGGGGGACATCGGAGGGGCTGGTTCTTCTGGAAATCAGCAAAGCTTTGTGCAAGAGTGAGGGAGAAGAGGGATTTGCCTCCACCACCTAGCTGCAACTGCACAGCACTGCATTGCAGGTACAGGGCCTGGCAGCAAGGCTGGGGGCTGCTCCCCTTGCAAATTCAGTCCTGGTAGGGGTTGAGTACAACCAGATTCATCTCCTTCTCTTGATGTTCCCCTTCTCACAAGCTTCCCTCTAATGAAATTAGAAATTCAGTCAGATACTTTGTTTCATCTCGCTGAACAAGCCGGTTTTATTTGCCTATTCAATCGGCCACTGGATTCAAAGCTGGGGTGAAGACAAGGATCGTGGTAATTGCTGCAAGTCCAACCCTTTTGATACAGAAACGCCAGAGCAGGAGAGAAAGGGAGTTCAAAGTGAAAATGAATTTTCTGAAGTAATTCCAAACCTCCCCTTTCAGAGTTGCAAGAAAAACTTTTCCTTTCTGCTCAAAAGTAAAAAAAAAAAAAAAAAAAAGCAGGAGGAAGAGTCAAATCTTCCCTAAAAAGGTGAACTGAGTATTTTTCACAGCAGCAGGCACTGAACATCCTCCTCCAACCATGTAGAAAAATTACCAGCCATTTCCTGTGCCTGTTTATCCTGCTGGTTTATGTAAGTGACAGGGGAAACAAGTCAGCAACAACGTGACAGAGCAAGTAATGAGTTAGATTGGGTTTGTTTTCTGTTGATTAGTGCAAGACACTGTGAAGCCAGCTTTCCAGTTTTCAACCCAGATGGGTTAATCTGATTGTGTAGCTGGATTTTTTTCACCTTCCAAGCTCACTCTGAACAGTTTAGCTTTGCCAAACCTCTTGACATTAGAAGAGGTGCTAGCAACATGCCAAATTTTCCACTGTAGACAAGATTTTGCTCCAGGTTCATTACATCTATCACCTGACAACTCTGCTCACCTCTGCAATGCAAAGCAGGGACAGCAGCAATGATCTGCAGGAACCAAGATTTCAATTGCTCACTTGTTCCTATCAAAGGTGTTCAAGGAGTTTGGAAAAAAAACACATCTGCATTCTCTTGCCAGTTTCCCACAGAGTCACTTATTTGGTCCACACACTAAAAATCAGGCAAGACATTATTAAGAAGGCTCGATGGCACAATGTGTGTTCTTACAGATTTGCACTGAGATAGATCCAAGAGGATCAGGAGGATGAGAGGATGGGAGGCCAGAGCCATGCCCATTAGCACAGAAGTTGGGAAGGAACAGCAATGTCCTTTGTGGTGTGGCACCAGCACTGGATTCCTTTGCTGCTCAATTACTAGTCGAGCCATCACAGCAGCCAAGTCTCCACAAGCAACTTCACCATCCACACTCAAAACTTGTTTTCTCCACCTCAACAACTCACATAAAAGGCCTGAAGAGAGGTGTTCATTTCTATTTGTGACTGCCTCAAAACTGTTTTGTACAGCAAATCACTACTTTTCCCCAAAACTGCAGAAATACTGTCCATGCTACTGTGTACCTGCTTTGAACAGACACAAAAGCAGACCCCTTCCACCCTCAAGCAAGGAAGGTAGAATACACTTAATCCAAACCTCTTTTATCTCACCTATCACCCTTCTATGTGTGCAAACAAAAACCATCCT